TCGGGGCTGCCGTATTTAGAAGGGTATTTGAAACCTCTGCCTAAATAGAAACATCTTCACCTCCCCCTACAGCCATCAACGAGCCGGGCGGCATTCCCACGCCAGAGGTGGGGAGGGGGTGAGGAGCTCTGCACATGGAGGGACCTGTCAGCCCTATTTAAGCACAGACGCGGTGTTTAGGCCTTTTTTAAAGAGGGAGCACCTGTACCTTCCCACCTCCACTGTTCTCCACTACTTCACCAAAGAGTGTCCATGGGGAAAGGGTGGGTAAAACCATCCCTCCCAAAACAGAGAGCATGATTCAAGGGACCAATCCAGCCCTGGTGTCCTCCTGAGCTGCTTTCATTTGCACAGACCCACCCTGGACACACCACGGTACTGAGAGCCACCACCCACACCCAGCTCTGGGTGCTGCTGGTGCCCACACACCCTGTCTAGGTGGGGAAACACCGGCTGAAGTCCAAGGTAGGCTTGTACTTCTTTAATAGACATTACATTTCTTTGCAACTTCTTCTAATTAGAAGCCAGTCTAATTTAAACCTTCAAGACCAGCACAAGCCTCGGTACAGATGCTGCAATTAAAGTTCTACAAGTTCTCTGTGCAGAGGCTCCGCTCCCCCAGCCTGCGGAGCGGGGCCAAGGGCAGCTCTGCTCCCAGGCTCTGCCATCTGCGAGCGGCAGCGCGCCCGGCAGAAGCGCCGTCTTAAATCCCGGAGATCTGGAAGTGCGATAAAAAGCCAAATCCCATCAAGCGCTCCCACACCAAACCACAGCCTTGAAGGGAAACCGTCCTCCCAGGAACAGGCTGAGCTGAAGGAGCTGTGCAGCTGCACCGCAGTGCCTGCCCGGCTGCGAGGGCTGAGTAAGGGCTTCAGGTGGGGGAAACAAAGGGGAGAGTTAATGGGATTAGGGTAGCGCCGAATGGTACACTGAAATACGGCACCGGGACCAGAGGGGACACTCCCCAAGGTCCCCGGCTGCAGCCCGGCCATGAGCCGCCCGCGCTGCCGCGGAGGTCGGGGCTCCGGGCACGGTGCACAAACCACTCGCACACCCAGCCCCAGGAGACCCCCCTCAGCAGCCCGGCTCGCCCCGCCGGGGATGAACGCGCTTCCTGGAGCCGGCAAGGACACGGCACATCGCCCAGACAATAGACTGTAACGCCATTGTCTGAGGGAGGGCCCCGCCACACCTTCCCCCAGCGCCCTGAGCACTGGGGACCCACGTCTGCCCCAGCGCCCGCACAGCGGCCAGGCCTGGGAGGGAGAACAACCCTCAGCCACGGGCACCAGTCCCCATCCTGATGGCCAACTTGTTTAAGCCAAATTAGCAGCAAAATGGGTTTTTCATGACACTTCAGGGAAATCCTCCAAAGCAATGAGCAACCACAAGCTTCAGATGCACAAAGACGGTTCCACTGGGTGCCCTGCACCCTTCCAAGCAGCTCCGACACCAACAAGGACACAGAAAGGGACCTTGAAACCTTCCCAGCCCCGGTTCCAGCTGGGCCGGACACTCCGAGAGTGGGGCCTGGAGTAGCCCCCGCGGGCACCGCACCTGCCCTGGATGAGGCTGAGTAAGAGCCCGGAGCAAACGCTCCCGGCACCGCTCCAGCCCTCGGCACCGCTCCAGCCCCGTCCCCGCGGCAGCTGGCGGGAGTCGCTGCGCCCCCGGCTCCCCGCCAGCCGACGGCAGACGGACACCAGGCCCGCGGGCGTCGGGGCTGGCACCAGCGCCAAAACCAGCACGACGTGGGCTGGAGCAGGAGGTGCAGCAACTGCGGGAGCCAGACCCAGCTGGGTCCCGGGGCGCCCCCAACCCCCACCACCCTTCCGGTAGGAAGAATGGGACAGGGAGCATCACGCCACACACGGGGGTCAACTCAGGCACCCCAACAGTGCAGAGGACCTGCAGCCTGGCCAGAGCGGGTGCAGGCTGATGCCTTCATACCCCCTGCGGGCACGACGAATCCCCCGGGCCCGTCCCCGACAGCCGCCGTGCCCTCGGTGAGCGCTCACGCTCCTCTCTCCGCGTTGTTCGTATGACAGCCCACGTTTGCCTTCTCCGGGCAACTCCCAGCAACATTTCAGCATTATCCTTTCATCTGTGCTGTAAACCTGATTAATTAAGCTAATCACTCAGCTAACGCAATTAGAGTGCTCCCTCCTCTCCAAACATCAGACAGACAGCCAAGTTTCGCTCCCCCCATGTTTCCCGGTGCGGATATCCGCTGTCAGGGGCTCAGCTGGGACCCTCCCGCCGCGTTGTGCCCAGCACTCCTCACCCGCGGGGGACCGCCTGGGTGATGCCAGGTCACCCGGATCCCCCTCAGCCCCGCAACCCCACGTACCCGGTCGTGGGCAAGGGGCAGCCCCGGCCCCGCGGGTGGGCACGGCGGTGTCGAGGGGCTCCGATGCGGCCTCGAGAGCAACATGCGGTGTCCCCAGGTGTGAGCCGGGGCACGGAGCAGCCCAGTTTGCGTAAGAGCCCCGTAAGAGCATCGTGCCAGGGCCTCGCCCGCCCAGCGGCGGCTCCGGGCGGGGCCGGGGATGGGCCCGGAGCAGCCGGCTCGCACCGGGGCGCGGGGCCGCGACTTCCAAACAGGCTCCCGCAGCGCCGGGAAGGGGCCGGGGCGGCGCAGCCGCCCGCGGGAGGAGCCCCGGGGACCCGCCCGCCCTACCCTGCGCGGGACCGGACGCGATCACGGGCAGGACACGGGGAGCCCTGCCCCGGCTGGCGGCGGCGGGGACGAGTCGGGGCGCCCGGTGCTGTCCGGTCCTGGCCCCGCTCACCGGAGCGCTCCCTGCCCGGTCCCGCCGGCCGATCGCCGCTCACTGTCGTTCCTCGCCCAGTGCCCCGGTGCCGCTCACCGTCCCTCTCCCACGCCCGGCGACTCCAGTACCCGCCCGGTACCCCCGTGCCCGGTATCCCCGCTCACCGTGGTTCACCCCCGTGCCCGGTGTTCCCGTCTGTCTTCTCCCCCTCCCCGTTCCCGCTGTCCCGGTCTCTCACCGTCTCTCCCCTCCCCGTTCCCGGTGTTCCCGTCTCTCACCGTCTCTCCCCGCTCCTGCCCGAACAAAAGGCGAGCAGCGCCCCGCGCGCGGCCCCGCCCCGCCGCAGGCCCCGCCCCCGCCCCGCCGCGTCGCCATTGGCTGCCTGGCACGCCCGTCAAGCCTCCGGCGCGCCGGGCCCCGCCCCCGCCGGACGTGTTTATGCGCTGTCCATTGGCGGGGGCGCGGCCGCCCCGCCCCTCGCCCGCAGGTGATTGGGCAGCGGGGCGGGGTGGGCGGGGCGGCGGGGCGCGGCGGCGCGAGGGGAAGGGCGCGACCACGAGGGGACCACCTGGGTGACGTCAGTGGGCGGGGCCGGGCGGGGCCGGGGCGCACCTGGGCAGGGCCGGGGGGTTCGGGGACCCTCGGGACGGGCGGGACCCCCGGGCGGGGGCGCAGGGGCAGCGGGAAACGGCGCTCGGGAGGGGCTCGGGGCTGCCGGTGCTGCGTCACGCCGGGGCCGCCGGACCGGTCCAGCCGGGCGCTGCCGCCGCGGCCCGGGCGAAGCCGCCGTCACCCAGCGCCCGAGTCACCCCCGGGGCGCGTCCCGGCCCGCGGGGTGGGGGTGTCCTCAGGACCCCCAGGTGTGGGGAGCAGGAGGGCTCTGCCCCGGGTGAGGGTGAGGGGGCACATCCTGCACCCCCGCACGGCCCCTGCCACGTCTGGCTGCGGGCGCTGCCGGGCGGGGAATCTCCGCTCCGCAGGGAGGTGAGAGACAGCTTCCAACGCCACTGCAAGAAAGCGGGAATTCATCGCTGTGCGCTGATGGGGGAATCCAGGGCACGGCAGAGTCCTCCCGGCACAAGGAAAGGGGCACATGGCACAGCACGGCAGGGCACAGCGGGGCACAGCACAGCTGAGATGACAGCCAGAAATCTCATTTATGCTCCCCCTTGGTCAAGGTCAGAGGGCTCAGGGGAGTGCAGTGCTGCCCTCACCGTGTAACCCACCGTGTCCTGTGGCCTTGTCCCCTGCATCCTGCTGCATCCCACTTCTGTGTCCTTGCTCATGCCCCTGTATCCCATTTCTCCACCTCTGGCACTGTCCCACAGTGCAGCTCCTGCCCGGCATTCCCAGGAGCGCTGGTCCCACCTGGCACCTGCACATCCACTGGCTGCAGGTGGGAACAGGGAAGGGACCCCTGGAACCCCAGCTTGGGGCTGCAAGGGGCTTTGCCTGGTGCCAGTAGGTAAGTGGGATCAAGGAGCCGTGTTCTCCCACGTGTTCTCCCACGTGAGTTTGGGGCCGGCAAAGGGGACACAGTGCCCAGGTGCGCGTCAGAGCAGGGCGGAGGCCCCATGGGCCCGGTGCCACCCTTGCCCAGCTGTTGGGAAGATCCACAAGCCTTTTTGTCCCCTGGGCCGAGTGCTTCCCACTGATCCGGGCGCGGGTGCTGCCGGCCGCACCCGCCAGGCTGGCGCTCCCCTCCCGAGGTGGCTGTGACCCATGGGTGACAAACCCCAGTCCTCCCGAGGGACAGGACAGCCCTGCCAGGTGCAGGGGTGCTGCGGGTGCTCCCCCCAGCACTCGCTGCCTCCTCGAGCCCTACCTGTGGGTCTGGGGGCTCAGCCCTGTCCCCAGCCCAGTGCCCTGCAGAGCTGGGGAAGCCCTGGGAAATGGGGGCTCTGGGCAGGGCAGGGTGGGGTGCTGGCAGCCTCCTGCCACCACCTTCCTTCCATTCCCGTCCCTTCCCTCCCCCGGGGCCAACGCTGTGATTCAGCCTCTCGGTTTCAGTCCTCGCAGCCAATTTCCAAGTGCAGCGGGAACGCGGAGGGAGGAGCGAGCTCAGGGTGGGCACAGGTCTGTCAGCACCAACAGCAGCTCCCCATGGGCTCCCAAAACACCCTGATGCCGGCAGGAGGGAGGTCATTCCAACCTGCCACCCCCCACCTACATTGGGGCACACAGGCCTGTCCGTCCCCCTCCGGGAGCCTGTGGTGGAGGCACTTGTGGAAAGACTGGTACGGATTTTATTAAAAGTTCAGCACCAGTAAATATTTAAAAAAAGAGCAACTGTGCAAGTGGGGAAATATTAAATTAACAGAGCTTAAGGCTACAGAGGGCTGGTGTGGCAAAAATTCAAGGCACAGCAGGGCACGGGCACCACAGCCCCCATGGTGCCACAGGGACGTGCCACACCAGGAGCCCCCTGTAGCACCAGGCTGGGGTCCAAGGGGACCCGGGCTCAAGGGACTGGCAAATTGCCTGGGAGGCTGGAGGGACAGGAGCAGGAGCCCCAGAGAGGGGCAGGACTGGCTCCAGCAGCATCGTGCGTTGCTCCTGGAGCAAGGGGCAGCCCCCAAACCCCTCCAGACAACACAGGGGTCAAGGCCTATGCACCATCCACAGATCCAGGGAAGGAGCTGAGGGATACAGCAAATCCCCGTGCTGTGGGTCACTGCTGTTGGCCAGGGCTCCTGGGGACACTGGGGACAGGAGTGGCCTGAGGGGAGCTCGTGGGCAGGCAGGGAGGTTCAAGGGTGCTCCACCAACAGGAATTGGGCTGTGCCAGGGCAGCAGACATCCAGACAGCAAAGGCAGCCCTGCTGCAGGACCCTGGGCAGGATGAGCCCTCCTCCACAAGCCTGAGTGTCCATGCAGTGACTGACAGGAGCCTGAAGTCCAATGTCCCTGGGATGGCATCACAGAGCCACCACTGTCCAGCTCTGTCAGGGCCAGTCGCCCTTTCACCTGGCTCGTCACAGGACCTCTGCAAACAAGGAGGGTTCAGTGGCACTGGGACATGGGCAGCAGCCCCCCCACCCTCCAGCACAGCCCCCAGCCCTTGTGTCAGGAACCTTCGTCATTGTCCCCCTTGGTCTTGGGTTCCTGCCACCACTCTGCGAAGAAGCCCTCCTCGTAGTCTCCTTCACCCTCGAACTCGCTGTCAGAGGGCAGGTCCAGAGACTCCGGCCCCTCACCACCATCCACCTCCATCTGCAACGGGGGAGGGCGGGAGGAGGCAGAGGGGCTCGGTGGCCTCATCCGCAGCCTCTGCTCCGGGGCTGGTTTGGGGGGTCAGACACCCTGCCCGAAAAAGGGCCCTGCCCCGGGGTACCCACAGCACCCCCCACGCCACCCAGCACCCCCAAAAGCATCTGTCTGCACCCCACCATCGGGTACCTCATCATCGGCCTGCAGGAACTGCCGAGCGAATTCCAGCATCTTCTTCTGGGCGGCCGTCTGGTTGTGGTACCGCACGGCTTCCTGGGCACGGCAGGGGGAGAGGGGCTGCGTCAGCCCCCCCGCCTGCACAGAGCCACGGGACAGGGGGCTGGGGGGTCCTCACCGGCCGCGGCTCGAAGTCCTCCTCCCGCAGGCGCCAGCGCTCGCGGTGGAAGCGGTAGTAGACCAGGTTCTGCTGCATCACGGTGTCGCCCGGGTCGAAGAGCATGTAGCTGGAGACGCTGCGCACCGCGTCCTGCACGTCGTTCACTGCGGGTGACACGGGGGTGACACCCTGCCTGGGGCCTGCAGCACCCTGGGGGTGTCCCTGGGGCAGACCCTTGTTCCCGCAGGCACTCACATTTGTAGTAGGCAAACTGCAGGTAGTGGTACATGGTGGCCACAAACTTCTCCACGAAGTAGCCGCCCACGTTGGGGGTGAGCTCGGTCTCGCAGTCCACCTTGCACTGCAGCACGCTCACGAGGTGGTCTGGGGGGGAGATGTCAGGCGCTGCACCCCTGAGCACCCCCCCGGGGTCTGCCATCCCCCGGCGCCCCAGTACCTGCGATGGCAGGGTAGAAGTCCTTGAACTCCTGCAGCTCGTAGGCTCCCTCGCAGCCGGCCAGGCAGTCCTCGTACGCCTTGTAGTACTCAGCCAGCGCCTGCTCCATGTCGGCCGCGCTGCTCCGGAAATCCCCGTTGTTGTACAGCTTCACCGAGCGCACGAATATCGGCTGCCGGGGGCCAAGCGGGCACTGCTTAGCGAGGGAGAACCGCTTCCCTCTGGGTTTGGCAGGACCAGGCATGCACCGAGCCCTGGGGAGCCCCTCTCCCGCCCCATCCACTCCTCACCTCGTAGGGCTGAGCCTCCAGGTCAACCAGGTATTCATCCACATCCAGCATCGTCTTGTAGTAGTTCAGGTACCTCAAGGTCATCTCATGCTTGGGGTTCTTCTGCAGGAAGGTGTGGGCAGCAGACACCGCTTTCTCGATCTTATTTGACTAGGGAGGGAGGGAGAGCTGGTGCAGAGACCTGCTGCAGGGCAGCCGGGGCTGACCCTGCAGCCAAGGTGGGCTGAACACCCAGACAGGGTGCAGGGCACAGGGACGGTCCTTGCAGGGAACAGTCCCGCACCCATGGTGCCAGCCCCGAGCCCAGCAGTCCACTGGCAGTAACGACGGACAGACAGGATCTGGGAACATGGACATCACAGGTCACTCCAGCCACACCAACCTGTGGTGGGCACGGGGACAGCTCAGCCCCTCATGGGCCCCCACATCCAGCTGGGAGTGATCCACGTGGTGCAGGATGGATCCACGTGGTGTGGGTTTGATCCACACATCCGCTCTTCTCCGGCACTGCCACCAGCCCAGGCCGGCCCCTGCTGCTTTTTGGGCTCTCAGGTTGCAGCTTCAGGGGAGGAAGTTGACGGGGTGGGGGGGGAAGGGGGGAGAAGGTGGGTGAACAATCTGACCAAGAAGTGGGTTTGGGCCAGAGAAGCAAGAGGAAAAGGCATTAAAGATTGGGACAGGCTGTCCCTCAGCACTGCCAGGTGAGTATTAAAACAGCACCCGCAGGGGCAGGCGGCCAGGGATGGGACCCTGACCAGGGACTGCCCCCTGCCAGAGCCACTCTGGCCAGCACAGGGTCACCCTGGGGCGATTCCTTATGAAACCTCCCTCCTCAAAACCTCCCTCCACATAACCTCCCTCCACGTCTGCACTGTGGGGCCAAGCAAGTCCTTCTCCCTGAGGGAGCATCCAGACACGTGTCCCACCGCAATCACCGTGGCACTGGACCCCCAGCTTGGGCCCCTCGGCTGGGGCAGCC